ATAATATACACATGATTTATAGTCTATACTGACATAAGCACTTTCACTCCCTTCAACCATGTTCTTTGACTTGGCACTTTTTGAAATTATGTACCACCATGTTTCCTCCTCCATACTAAATTTGCCCTTTCTTTCCACCCCTCCTGTCCAGTGAGTCAGTACACCAATGCATTTGCCTTCACCCAGCTGTGCAGTGTGCTGCTCGCTCCCATGAACGGTCTCATCATGGACAGACACAAGCGCAGGCCTCTGGCTCCAGGTTCGCTAGATTTTCTTCAAATTACACTGTGGAACAAAGCTGTTTACTTAACTAAATGATTTACAAGTCTGAATTGTTGTGTTTTTGTTACCTTAGAATGAGCCATTTGTATCCATAGGCATTGCGGGTCACCTTCTGTGGAGGCCACCATGTTGAACTGTTTCTACATTAGTCCAGAACGGACAAACCAAACACTGGCTTTAAAAGGACCATTTGTGTATTTCATGCATTCTGGGGCCACCATAGTTTCTCACTCATGGTTGGAAAGGGAGGGTGAAACGAGTGAATTGTAAACTGCAACTACACCGCTAGATGTCACTGGACCTTCGAGCTCTGCTAATAGAGAATAAAACCATTAACATTAAATCAAATAATGATAAAAATAAATTCTAACCTAAGGGGAGCCTGAGCCATGCTTTTGTTTTTGTATTTCTTAGGAGAAACCAAGAGGGAAGCAGACCTGCAGTCATCCTCTCTCGCCCTCTTCCTGACCTCCCTGCAGTGTTTCCTCTTCTGTGTGTGTTTCACCTGTCCCGTCCTCCCTCTACAGTACCTCACATTTGTCCTGCAGGTTGTCAACAGCTCCTTCTTTTATGGAGGACACCAAGCCTTCGTCAGCTTTGCGTACGTTCACACGTCCTTCTTAATTCCAACACACTTCAGACCAAATAATAACAACAAATTCAGTCAACAATATATATATATTATATATAACTGCTCTGCTGTGTCTTCATCTCTCTCCACTCCATCTCACCTCTAGCTTCCCAATGTCTCATTTCGGGAAGATGACAGGGATAGTGATGTCATTGTCAGCTCTGGTGCTGCTTCTCCAGTTTCCAATCCTACACCTCATCCAGCACCAGCTACACGGTGATCCGCTCTATGTAAGTGTCCAGAGGTTGTGTGATGAGCCTCACTTGAAGGAGGAGTCAGGTTAACCGGTTTAATAAGCAGTTTGTCTCTTTCACACCCCACCCACACCCCAACCTCCTCCATTTTTAATTTTCTGTTATTCTCACAGGTAAATGTGGGTGTCACCTTGGTGTCACTGCTCACCTTTATTCACCCGCTCCATGTCAGCCTCTACTGCAGAAAGCTGGCCAAACAGAGAAAGACCGAACAAGAAGTGAATGAATGAGGGTCTGCAAGATGTTGACTTTATCCAGTGTAACCAAGTCTAAAATTAAAAATGTGTATGATGCAAACGTAAAGAAGTAGTTTCTCTTTTTGGAAACCACAGTTGGGACCACACAAGGGTTTTTGCATGTTTAATTTATTACGAACCATGTACACTTCACATTGCAGCTGAATATTTTTTATGTATTTTATAATGTTTTATGTTGGATTTACTTCTTACTACTTCTTACCTCTTAGAGTTTACATTTTTGGAAATTACATAACATCAGGCAAAGAATGCATTATGACTCGGGACCATTGATGTATTGAGGAGAACTCTGCACTGGAATGTCAAGAAATGTGCAAAACAACTTGGTTGAGAAAGATCATCCACCACATTTTCTATTGACAAATGATCATTGCGTGGTAAAGCAGATGTAAGCCATTCCAATAGGTAAATATTACATTGTCAAATATAACGTAACTATTCACAACAATGAAAGCAAACACAAATCTGTGTCAGAGCATGGAGATTTCTTCTTGACCTTGGTGACAGTAGTTTTTTGCTCAATATGCAATAATATGGTATATCGTCCCATGCCTAATCTGTGAACATATTTTAAATGCAGGGTCCACTTACTTAGCTATTCCTGTGCATCCCATAGTCAATATAGCACATCGCTTTTGTTTTTTAAACACTTTTACATACATTTGTATTTAGTAGTAATTTAAATTGTTTTCAGGGACAGGGCAATATACCATATTACTTTTACCGCAGACAAGAATCTGTATGGTTTGAAAAAAAAAAATAGACACAAAAATTAATTTAATCACAATTAATACATTTTTGACCATAATGGCCAGCTATATTCACATATGTATCAATGACTTACAAATTAAAAGAAGTAGATTGTGTTTCTCAAGGTATCATGCAGGCCTAATATTGGCCTGTTTTACTTATGTTTACAAAAATTGGCGATTAAACAGCATCAGAATATATGTCTACATTGTTAGTTAATGTTGTGAGTTATCATTATTATTATTATTAAAGTCCCCCTCTGTTTTTATTCTTGTTCCTACAGTGTGATGTGCTGAATGATGTCTGTGCAGAGTTTGACACTATAGGATGTTTTCACATTCATCTGCTGAAAGTGGAACATTTCTCTGTACTCAATGGAAATCTGATTTTAAGGGGCGGGCCTACAGCATGTTGGTGACATCACAAACAATTTGGAAGTCAGTCGTGGTCCAGTATGCAACTATTAGAGTGTGATCCACCATTGCACATAGAAGGTGTGTGTGTAGTAGACTTTTGAAGGATTTTGATGTGGAAATTCTTCTTCTTTTTTTGCAGAAGAAACACATCAGACACACATTATTGTTCCAAGCTGATTATTTGTATATGTTGTAATACAGGTCTGGAGGAGATCTTTAATTTTTGTGTGTTTGCTTGCATTTTATTTACAGATTGTGCCTTAAATGACATAAGGGACATAAAGCACTATGGCCACATTGATATTGTGAACTAGCAATATTATGCAACCATAAAACTGTAAATGCTGGAGCCAAATAAAGCTCTTGTTTGTGTTGATTTTGCCTGTTGTGTTAAAGCTGCACATGCAATTACACGGAAGGGCTCAGTGGGAATTGTTTTCTATCTATTCTCCGATTCATGGAGGAGATGACAGCGTTGCCCTCCATCATAGAGAAACTGCTCGCTAGGGATCAAGCATTTGGTTTGGCTCTTAGGACAGTAAGTGCTGTGCTGTGCAAAACAGATAATAACCATATGCAATTGACAGTGACAGCATTTATTTGACCACACAGGGGCAGAGCATGTTAGAGGGGCAGGGACCCAAATTCATCAAAGGAGGTTTTTTTTAAATAATTTATATATATCTGGAATGACTAGGCCCACTTCTTCAACGCAGATAAAGGAATATTAAAAAGTACAAATTAATGATAATGAGGTTGGTTCAGACACTCAGACACTGTAAAAATAATGAAGAAAGTGATTGAAACTAAAAATATTTGAAAAAGTGTTTTTCTTTACTTCCTTTATTATTAGCTTGTTATTTCCTTTACTTTCTAACCCACTGATTCCCATATTGCTAGCAAAAGGTGTCAATGCTAAGGACAGCTAGTCAGCACATTTTGAACTGCTAAATAGTTCAAGCATAGATAGACCTTTTCACCAAATAGTTTCAAGCAATTCATGAATTTCAATTTGAAATGAAAATGATTATTTATTTATTTAAAAAAGACACCTCAAAGGGCAAATGGCAGGTGATCAAGTCTCCTTTGTGGTCTATCTGTGCACCACCACACCTCCATCCCTTTATTCTGACACAATAGTTTAGCAGGAATATGCAGCACCATACTCTGATCACTTAATGTTATTTTACCTTTTGATCAGTACATTTTTGATTATTTGCCTTAAATGGTTTTACTTTTTTTAATTGCTGAGTGTTTTTTTGCAGGAAACAATGGAGCAGGACCACAGCTGCAGGCCGATCAGATAAAGAGCAATACAGAATGGAGGAGCAGGATGAGGTGTACCCATTCAGTGTAGTCTTCAGACTAGAAAGGAATAAACTGTGGCTAATTCAGGCAGATACACTGCCTAAAGACATCATGAGGGCGAAACTACACAATAAATTATCACTTTTCCAGCTGTCATTTTGGGCTGTGAACAAGACTAATCCGCACCATCACAGCTCAAATGTCTTGTGACACGAGTTGTTCTTGACCTCAAGCCTACTTTTGTGTACTAAAAAAGGCTTAGTGCAAACCATTTCTTCTACTTTTGTGACAAATGCTTTGTTTTGGGGAGAGAACATGATTATGGAGTTATTTGTATTGACCAACAACCCTGTTATTATGGGTCCAAGAGCTGGCAGCCCCATGTGCTAAGGGGGTGGGTCCTCGCTGCAGTGGCCCTTTTCTGTCTGTCATCCCCTCTCTCTCTCCCCCCCTTTCCTCTAACTCTACAGTTGTCACTGTCGATTAAAGCCAATAAAAAAGTTTTTTTTTGTGTTTGTGCAGCAAAAACTGTAGGCGAGGGGTTTCCAATTCCATCCACTACTCAGGCACATAATATGACACTAATTGACCTTAAGGGGGCACTGCAATCACATTTACATTTTCTCAGGCTTGGCCTTCAGTCAAAATTCTTTCATCACTTGCCACATTTTTTAAAATCCTATTTTCAGAAACTGCTGCGCCAATCATCCCCAAAACTGAGTCATCACGGACTTAGCTGAAATTTCAGTGTGTCAACTGTTTTAAAATTAGTTTTACAAGCCAATCAACTGTTATCAAAATAGGTAATTTTCAGAAATGTGCTTGAATCTGTATTATAACCGATATAGTTCTAATGTGATTAAAACCATCTGATGTACTGTTTTGTTGTGTGCCACAGGAAAGTATTTTAAAGTTGGCAGACTGAAAGTTTGAACCAGTTACTGTCAAATGTGAGTGAGCTCCTGAAGGACAACCAGAGCTGAAAGGTTAATGTACATTATTATTGATAAACTAACATGGCCATGTCAGTAATGATCATTATAATGACTTTGATGACTTTTGCTTCTGCTGTTGTTTTGAGTAACTCTTCCTATACACTCACCCACCTGAGAACAGGTCCTCAAAGTCAGGATGCAGAGCTCGCAGTTCTGCAGTGAACCTCCAGAGGACAGCAAAGATCTAAACACAGACTACAGGCAGTCTGTATTTCCCCAAACAAAATTAATTGTTCTGGGATTTCATAGTAAAAGTGAAGCAGAAAGTCCAGACCACCAGACCCCAAGTGGAGATTTAAATCTGGGCTTTCAGCTCCAAGAAGGGACTCTGTGTCAGATGTACACCGACTGTGGAGAGTTTCCTGTGGGCAGCACTCTGCCTGACACCCCAGCACTCACATATTTCAGCAGCTTACATCCATCAGAAAACCAGTCCACATCAAGGACACTTGACATCCCTAATTTATCACTCAATAGACAGCACACTGCAGACAGACACACCCAGGCACCAAAGAAACCTTGTTAAAGTTGAAGTAGAAGCTGCAATATGGCAGCTTTCGGGCCTGATGGAACAACTGGGCATTTCAAGTACATAAGTGACTACGGTAGGAAGAGGGTTCCCTTTCTTGAGCATGATGAAATGCCACAGGCTCACACACACAGGGGAGAGGACTCAGTTCTGTGGACAGAGTGGGATGAGCTTCATCAGATGGAGCCACCTGATGTGTGGCTGCGTGTTCTCTTGCAGGGCACATGTCAACGCACACATGAAGACCCACTACAGGTGATAACACTGTAGGAGATTTCTGTGTTTACATGTGGCCATAGGCATCAGAGTGTATGTATCATCATGCATGTCTCAATGAATGGCTCTGTGCTGTGTTTAAGCTCTTTAAAGTTTCATCAATCAATATTTTATATATATTCTCTTTTTATATGGTATGGCTATGGTATGAATATTACCTGTGGACAGAGCCCTCCTATCTGCTAAGCTATAAGCTAACGATCTGAAAGCAGTAGATTCATATCTGGCATACAGATATGAGAGTGGTATCCAACTCCTGGCAAAAAGTAAAGTATTTCTCAAAATGTTCAACTATCTTTTTAAGCCTCTGAAAAAAGTAGAACAGGTACTGTCATAGTTAAAGCTGCAGTGCTCAATATTTGGCCACTAGGGGGCAGAATAAGTTCTCACAGCCATATAAAGTGGTTTTGGTTAACAGTTGGCAAACAGTTGCATCCTGCAGACTCAGAGCAATATTCATCATATTTCTGGCCACCTGAATTATTGATGTATTATGTTATTGATGGAGCTTTAAACGATAATTTTAATTTTAATAAGATTCTGATCATTGGCTTTTTTCAGCATTTGATTTTATTACTGGAAATTTAGTAATAAATGAACATCAAAACAAGAATGAGAAATAACGATTACATTGTTTTATAAGAGACTGCCTTCTTCGATGTATGTATGCCTTTTTTATGCCATGGTGATTCCCAGTTCTCCTGAATATGTACATAAATCACAGGGTAGCTAATATGTGTTATAATGAGTCACTGACTGAATGAGCAATGGAAGCATGTCCAAATGTGTCAATTGTCAAGTAATTATTCAAGTAAATCTGGCCATGAGAGCTTTACAGTAAATATTCTAATCATGTGAGTCATTTATTTCTCCAACAGATTGATTACAGTATTTCCACATAAATGAGTCCATACAGTGTACTGTGACAGCAGTTTGTGATGCCATCATCCTTATAAAGACGCTAAAGAAGCATCAGAGAACCATAATATTCCTGCAGATGCCACCACGTGTCTTTTGGCATCATTAGTGAGTCTGTAATGTATTTATAGTTAAGTATATTTTATCTCCAGGCCTCAGGGGCTTAATTAAAATGGTATCATCATGCGGGGCGAATAATAGAAAATCCATTAAGATTAGCCTGTAATTCACAATTAAACTGTTAATGAGAGATACTGCGTACTATAAAGAGCCATATGTTGATGTGGTTTCCCGCCCTGGGTCCACCTGTTGCGACTACAACTGGATCTCAGACAGACTGAGACAGTGAGGCAGCTCTGTGCGTTAGATACACAACCTGCGGCTCGGTGCGAGGTGCATCACGGTCCTGCGTCCCCCTGCACCAAAGGACTGTAACGGATGTTTGAAGCAACTGGAAATCAAAAGGTAGAAATAATAACTTGTTATAAAATGTTAAAGATACAGGCATACAGCGGGGGTTGGCTGAACGATGCGCGTTTTGAGGTGAGTTGATGTAACGTCTCTCCACGCAGAGAACTAGACACTGTGTGGGTGTTGTACTCATATTAACGATATTAAATGTCCATTCATGTTGTGTTTCATGAAGAATGACAATAAACCATGTGCCGTTCACGCTATAAAGGTCTAATTTCTTGCGGGTTTGTGTCCATGTTGTGCCATGTGCATAGATTAAGTGAACTAATCTGGATTACAGTCTGCACCGCCTGGCCACAGCGCCGTGTCCTCATGCTGCAATGAGAGCTGGACATGAGACACAGAAAGCCATAGGGACATCAGATGTTTTAGTTTATGCGAAGTTTGTATTATTTATACACTGTGCACAAATAAGGAAGAAGAATTACGGTCATAATTCAAGGAGCAAAATTTAAAAATACAATATTTCCCTTAAAGTACACTTAATTTAAGTACAATGTACTGTTGTGTTGTTACTTCCCACCACTGCCTACACAAGTGGCTTCATAAATTCAGAAATGATCAAGACTGGTGTTAAAACTGCCCTCTCCAGCAGAGCAGCACATGATAAAGTAACTGCTTATCATTTACTGTTTCAGGGTTATCTATCTCCAATGGGTCTTTGCTGTGGTCTCTGAAATATCAAGGACTTATTCACGACCATCTTCACAGCTGAAACTCATAAAACTGTCCATTTACACCACGCTGAGTACAATATTTATTGTTTGTCATTGTATTTAATCCGTTGACAATGCTTCACTAATACTGTTCAGTCCTGGCTCATCTGTTCCGTAGGCGTGGAACAATATGTGGCATCATATTGTACTGCTTTGGCTGTAACTGAACTCTCTCTTAGTAACACCTGTTTGGTTTTTGTTCTGTATCTTAGAAACTTTAATCCAGCAAAGACCTTTACTGCCATGCACTTGCTGAAGGGAAATCAGAAGCAAAATTAGAGGAACAGTAAACCAAAGAGACCAGGAGAGACAGCAACACCTTCCTCTGAGGACTAAACCCGTACCGGAAGTAAACCTGTTGGCGACCTGGAGAAGGGGAGTGCAGCATGCAGGGGTACGAGGTTGGTACCAGGCTGCGCTACAGGCTGACTCTGGCCTCGGGGATGCTGGAGTGTCTGTGCTTTGCTGGTGTGGTCTTTGGGTTCGCCTCTCTGGTGTTTGTGCTGAAAGAGGATGGCTACTTCAGTCAGCTGTGTGTCAGCGTCCCAGATGCCAGCGGCAACCTGACCAGTGCAGGTGAGCAACTCTGGGGTACAAGAGGTGATGATGTTGCTGGGACGCTCATATGAGAGACATCAGTTGTTTCTTTAAATTAGCTGCTCTTTTAAAAGGCAAACATAGAAGTCAAAAGAGAAGATTCCCCTGAGAAAATGTGTGAGCTCTATGAAAACAGTTGGCACTAAGAAAAAAGCTTTAAACAATGGTACCACTTGATTATCAATACCTAATGTTAACAAAATATAGGCACACATGTCTTCAAACTGAAGCAAGAATGTACAAATACATTAAAAATATAAAAATATTTTTAGCCACTTGGGAGCAAAAGTACTTCAGAACATAATGGGCGGACTCACTGAGAATGATTTGTCAATCACAAGGTAGCCACACCCTAATGCATACCCTGGTTTATCATCTATTTTACTCTAAATTAGACCATAGTTTACTAAATGAACACCATAATGTATTGAAGAAGACTTGGAACTAGCAATTGAGACCATAAACTCATTAGGAAACTATTAACTGAGCTAATAAATCAAGTGAGAAGTCTCCATTAAACTTAATACTATTGGATTTCTTGTTTTGCAGCTTAAGGAGCTCCTCCTGCTGAGCATTAGAAAGGATGCAGCTTTAAGACACTTCTGCATTGGCTTCACTTCACAGACTCAGAAGCTCTGTCCAATATATATACTTTCAATGGTGCTGGCAAATAACACAGAGCAACATTATCGTTTCAGTGTCCACCACCTCCTCACTGAACATCTCTGTCTTTAGCTACTAGATGTCGTCTACGGGTTCGTCACAAGGGACCCCTTTCATGATACACAAAGTAAATTATTGTGGTTATAATAATAATAAATAACCTATACCATAAAGAGCATGAGTGTAAAAATAGTGTTGCAGAATACTAACGGAGCAAGCTGAAGGAAAACTGTCCCTTTTGAGGTTTTCACTTCAATGTGCCACAGCTGTATGGACAAAGACCAGGCATTTATATGCCATTGGTAAAATGTGTAGTGATGTTCTCATCAGTTCAGGTACAGTTTTCTCAATATCCCAAAATGCCCCAAGCTTTCTCTCTGTCTCAGACTGTAGTCGACAGGATGAGCAGTTCTCTCTGGTCTTCACCATCGCCTCGTTCCTCAACAACTTCCTGACTCTAGTCAATGGCTACCTGTTTGATCGATTTGGTACCATGGTGACGAGGCTGCTGGGAATGTAAGTTCATCTAATTTTATAAAATAAAGAAGGCTGCAGTTGAAAACCCTGTCAGCACCAGTTTTTGTTGTCATAATGACAGTTTGTTTGTCCAAGTTATAGTTGACTGATAAAAAATGACCACCAGCTTTTCATTCATATTTTCCTTGTGATAGCATAATGAAACAAAAGCTTAAGAAGTTCAGTAAGCAAAACTAGTGGCTAAAGGTTTATTCCATGCATGATACCCATACAGGATCCATGAGCTCAAATGTATATTTCAGTTTGCAGGTCAGTTATTGCTACAGTTTACAGTTATGATGAAGGGGGATCAGTAAGGGTTATAGAGATAAAGGTAGGGAGTGTCTAACAGAGGCAGAGAGATTACACTTAAGCAGAGCCTGCCTCCTTTGACCCAAGACCCTATCTTATCTTCGTATTTGCAGAGTCATTATCATCACTATAATATTTACAACTATGTACCCTTTTCAAGACAAGTTGAACAAAACATGGCAAGCCTAGTTCAGTCACAGGATAGATAGAGACCCTTCTTGTCAGAAACTCAACACTTTGACCGCAGACTGAAAAAACACAACAGACTGTGTTTTTAAAAATCGACCTCCTTATTTATTAAATAGGTGAAGTTGAAGCAGCTCACAGAATGCATCATAATTATTTCACCTGTAGCCAGTTAGATTTTCCACCAAAATATAATAAATTTGAGTTTATAGTGTTCTTACAATTTACATTGTATTTATTATGTGTGAAGTATGAAAATACCTCTAAACTTTCTATTGTGTCTGAGTGTGTGTATGCTGTGGTGGATAAATGACACTGTGAGACACTGATGTAGCTGCTCTTAATTCAGTTATATTTCTCTCTCAAGATGTTTGTATACGACTGGAACCCTTCTTGTGGCCTTCTCCAGTGCAGGTGGGCGCACGCACATTCATAACATGCATAATGTTAGAGTAACTGGGCAACATAACTAATGTAGTTTACATCAGGGGAAGGAAATGTCATAATACCTATTTCATACCACTTGTTTCTTCCTGCCACAGTCCTTCACGGTGGGAAATGGCAGACATGCTATTCTCCGTACAATTTTAGCCCACCTTGTTCCTATGGTGGCTATTAAAATATACATGAATATTCTTTCTAGTTAGTTGGTTTATATTGTGTGTGAACACATATCATATAGATCTGCCCCCGGTAACTGAATTATTTCCAATAACCAGTACCAGATTCTATTTCTCACATTTCTAACAAAGCAAATTTCATGAAAATCGGTTCAGAATTAAGCAAGTTACAATCAATTTTGTAGTGAAGTCTTCATCTCTCAGTATTGTTAACTAGCTGATATTGACCTCCCCAATATGGCACGCAGACACACGTCAAATCGAGAATGCAGCATCTATGTTTCTAAATCTATGGTCTGGACCATTAAACATTATAAAATAAAAGGAATATCTTATTGCCACAGAACTAAACAAGTGCAGCTTTCTTGCTAGACTAAACACTGGTTGGGTGCTTCAATAGCCAACTTTCCTGCTGTTCTAGAGACTCTGTGACTCTGGACTCTAACACTAAGTGGGAACTGTTGGGTCTCTGTAAATATATGTTATAAGAGTTTGGTATAGACCTGACTCTATTTGAAAAGTGTCCTGAGATAATAAGAATTGGCGCTATACAAATAAAATTGAATTGAATTGAATTGAATTGGTCAAAGTGAAGGGGATGGGTATAAGTTTAGAATCATGTGATAATCAATGGAGTAATTTCTAAAATTACAAAATTACAAATTACAAAAGTTTGTCTTTCTCTGTCATGTAGTGTTTTCAGAGCTGCTTTTTCCTGCCTTGTCCTGCATCGCTGTGGGGGGAATTCTGCTCCTTCTGACTAACATGCAGGTGAATTCTGATAATATCTCTACAAATATCTTAGAATAGAAACATACTGTGTGTCCTAATATTTCTCACACCTTTCAACTCTCCAATAACTCATAACTATAAATTTTGTTTTGCTGAATTGTGTCTCTGTGTGTCGGGAAGGTGGGCAACCTGTTTGCGGCTCATCGCTCCACCATCATCACCCTCTACAATGGTGCCTTTGACTCCTCTTCTGCTGTGTTTCTCATCATCAAGGTAAAGGAGTGCAGCCATGTCAGTGGAGCCATTACAATGCTAGAATCTGGCAGCATCTGAAATTACTAGATAGCGAACAGCTCTCGAATAGACAATGCTAATATAAGGTTTTCCTAGGTCTTCTATTAAGTGCACTAGTTTTTTTCTTAAAACAGCAAAAAAACATTGATTCTGGTCTTTTTTTTTTTTTTTACATCAAATCCAGTTTGATTTGAATGCAATTGAAGTACACCATTTGAGGTCTGTGCTTATTTGACATACTGTACAGTACATGTATGCTCTCTGTTCTTTTATTTGAACATCAACTTCTACAAAAAGTTTTGTAAAAAAGTTTAACCGAGACGCTTTCCTCTGCTTTCCAGGTCCTCTACGAACAGGGAATCTGTCTCCGCTCCTCCTTCCTTGTTTTGTCTTTCTGCAGCATCATACATCTGCTGAGGACCTTCCTGCTGATGCCCAGAAGACACATCCCCTACCCTCTGCCACAATACTACACCTACGGGTGAGAACAATCACTTCTCTTTGAAGCAGCTACTGTATTAAGTCATGTAGATCATCTCCAGGGATTAGACATGACATCCACTTTTCCCAACCTACAGAGTGAATTGCAGCCAGGCCAACACTTACAACGTGGAGCAGTTGGAGAGGATGAGGGATGGTGCAATGACAGATTCACAGCAGTCCGGTGGGAGGGACAATGTGCCACCAGCACCTGAGGACGGGACAGAGGCCCAAGACTCAGGAAAAGGTACTTATCCTCAATGTTGCCATCACCTCTATGTTCACATTCACATTGTATGGCATTCAAAACTAAACATAGTTTTTCTCCCTATGCAGAAAGAACAGAGAAACAAGATCATATGACCAGTAACCTTGTGTAGTATTTTCATCCTTATCTCCATTGTTTTCCACTCTAAAACACACATATACTGTACAGCAGAGAGCAGTCTTCATCTGTTATAAATGTCTGTTCTGTGTGTTTTTACGACCAGAGGTATAGAAGCAGATTGACAAACTATATGACCTTTAAACTTTTTTTGACGATTTAACGACTGATTAATCAACTAATCGTTGAAGCTCTAATGGACATTTTGTGCTTATTTTCGGAGCTCTGAAAAGGTTCTGGGCTACTGTAGAAACATGGTGGTTTAACAAGCGGTGACTATAGATAAAAACAGCTCGATTCTTATTTTCAGGTGATTGTACACTAATGAAAACATACCTACGAGTATTATATTCCATTTCTGCCTTTCAGATCCTCCTGAATGTTACACACTGGACCTTTAAAGCACCTTTGCAGTACCTGGACTTGCTTTCATTTTCCCACAATGTTCATGTCAGATTTCATGTAAATTTTCATGTGTTTAGAGGCAAGTTTCAGGAGCTGTGTGCTGTCCTGGTTCTTCCTGTGGCATATATTGTGGTTGTCCATAATGCAGCTGAGGCACTATCTCTTCATTGGCACACTCAACCCCATGCTAAACCGGCTGGCCAACAATGACCCCAACCTGGGTAACTCATCATAAAAACCACTGACCCTTTGTCACACACATATTAACTGTCTGGGATTTAAAGTGTTCTCCTTACTCTCTTAATGACTTCTCATCATCACCCTCCAACCCCAACTCCTGCTTTTTTCTTCTATTCTTTTTCTGTCCTTATCTCAGTGAGTCAGTACACCAATGCTTTTGCCATGACCCAGCTGTGTGGAGTGCTGTGTGCTCCCTGGAATGGACTCCTCATGGACAGACACAAGGGGAAGCCTCTGGCTCCAGGTGAATAAATGACTGCTGTTATAACTGAATGTGTTTTCGCAACAGAGCATTGTTACTCATTACTTGTTAACCATTTTTCCTCCTGTAGGAGAAACAGAGCAGGAGGCAGACCTGCGCTCCTCCACTTTGTCTCTGTTCCTGACCTCGCTGCAGTGCCTGCTGTTCTCTGTGTGTGCCTCCGTTCCTTTCCTCCCACTGCAGTACCTCACCTTTGTTCTACAAGTCCTCAATCGCTCTTTCCTCTATGGGGGAAATGCAGCGTTCATTAGTATTGCGTGAGTAGCTATCGTATTCACACACACAGGAGATTGAAAAAATTAAAGAAACACCTTACAACAGAATAGACAGATCTGATGTTGACATCATTCAGTATGTCACCATGATGTTCCGAACATTACATTTTTCAGTGTTTGGGTCTGTTGCAGGTCTGGCAGCAACTATCTGGTCTTTTTGCACCTCTTAAAGTTGTGCTGCTACTTGACGATGTACTTATATATACATTTTAATTTTTCAACCAGTTTCACACCAGATACACCCATCATACAATTTCTGCGGATTCCCTATCCTCTATGAAGAGCTGAGGTACATTACTCTGGGAATTCAAAGGTGCACTAAATTAACTTCTCCATTTTTCATTATGGTTAAAGAAGAAGTCTCTCTCCAGTCAAATGGTTAGGCAGTCAGTCCTGGTCCAGTATCAACTTGTACAGTGTGATGTAGAAACTTGAAACCAGCAGTGCACATCCACTGAGAATGGACTTTTTTATCTGCCTCCCACAACTCTCTCACCTTTATGAAAGTGCAATCCTAAATTGCTGGAGTTTCAAATAGATTCTACTTGAATTGAAGATATATCATTAGCTGCAAAAAATGTAATGTGGTAAGGGAGGAAGTGTCAAAACCTGATAATAGATGCCAAATAGAGAAATAACGCATTGTCAAAGAGCATCAGTGGTCAGACTATTAATAGACATAGTCATAGCAATACCTGTGAACATGTCTCTCTTTCTCTCAGTTTTCCAGCCTGTCACTTTGGGAAGCTGTACGGCTTGGTGATGTCCATGTCTGCAGTTGTCTCTCTGCTGCAGTACCCCTGCTTCGCCCTGGTCAAAGGAGCTCTGGATGGAGACCCCTTCTTTGTAAGTGCTCAAGGAAGCTTAAGAATTAGAAAAAGAACCGCTGGGTGACTAGCAAAGGGCATGTGAATACATTAATAATGGTCGGTGAATTAATGTCAGAATGTGCTGTACAGAATAGTGTGATACTGTCACTTCGGACAAATGGAAAACTGTTGTTTTGATGTGTTACAGGTGGACATTGCTCTGACTCTCCTCACTCTGCTGGTGTTTATCCATCCTGCCTATGTCTTCTTCCACTGCAGGAGGATAGCTCGCTACAGAGAGGACAACACCCAGACTGAGGTCACTAATGGCTCCAAAATGGCTGAAGCCAAGTTATAGTTAAAGGGATAAATAAGGGTTTTAGGTGTGTTCTGTCTAGAAGTTTTACTTTTCAGGTTGTTAAATGATTTTCTTTGAGAAAAAGGAAGCATCTTCTCACTTGCCTGTCTGCTCCTGTTCAGAATTTCTTGAAAATAGATACAGTAAAGTATTTTGGATACCTTTTTTTAATCTAAGTGCACTGATATTATTTCAAATGTTTTTAATGTTTGTGTGAATGGATACATACTTTTTTTTGTTTTATGTAAACTGAAATGTATTAATAGTTTAATAAAATAGTTGAATGTAAATGTTTTATTGACTGGCTTAAATTATATTTGAGTGCTTTACTCAGATTTTTAAGCTATAATATGCTGTGCACTGTATGTCCACATGTATTTATATTAACATCAGTACACAATGTAGAACACACTACTGTACTGTGTGTTATGTTTATAAGTGTATTATTCATGATTAAATTAGCATAATTAGCTCCATTGGTAATATATTTTATTTAAAAAAGTATGTGACAGGCATATTTACATAACAGTAAGACATCAAAAACAAAAAAAACATTTATTCTGCATGTACATGAATACAAACATCACAGTCTAAGACAATACAGACATTATGCTAATAAGCTTCATCCACTGTAGTACTGTAGTTCCATTAATAATCTACTGACAAAAAAGCAGCATTAAGTACTCTAATAACCGGTCTTTGGAGTTTTCTTTCACAATGTAATGATTCATAACCAGTGCTCGGATAGTTACTCAACATTTTTTTTTACATATTACTGATTATTCTTTTAAAAAGTAATCTAATTACTT